TTTAGTTACCACAGGTAGGGGGAGTGTTGCTACCGGCATCTAATGGGTGGAGGCCAGGGATGCTGCTAAACTTTCTCTAATGCACAGGACAGACCTCACAGAAAAAAAATTATCTGGCCCCAAATGTCAAAAGTGCAGAGGCTGAGTAACCCTACTATAATGGAATAGTCCTCCTCCCCCAATAAATTTCCTGAGCTTTGTAGTTCTCACCCATCAAACCCAAAACCCACTTTTGTCAACTCATAGCAACCCTATCGGACAGAGTAGAACTGTCCCATTGAGTTTCCAAAGCGATAAATCTTTATGGGAGCAGACTGCCACATCTTTTTACTGCAGAGAGACTGGTGGGTTCAAACTGTCAACCATTCCGTTAGTAGCTGAGACTTAAGCTTAAACAGTTCACCACCAGGGCAGCTTTTGGTTCTCACCCATCCCACTGCCATCTAGTCAATTTCGACTTAGGTACCCTGCAGGGCAGTAGAACTGGCCCACAGGGTTTCCAAGGCTGTAAATCTTTATGGAAGCAGACTGTCACATCTTTCTCCTGCAGAGCAGCTAATGGGTTCAAACTGCCAACCTTTCCATCAGCAGTTTAACACTTAAGCTTAACCACTGTGCCACCAGGGTACCTTGTAGTTCTCACCCACCCTACTGCCATCTAGTCAATTCCAACTCATAGGGACCATGTGGGACAGAGTAGAACTGCCCCACAGGGTTTCCAAGGCTGTAAATAGTTACAGAAGCAGACTGCTGCAGACTGCCGCATCTTTCTCCCACAGAGCAGTGGGTGGGCTCGAATGGACAACCTTTTGGTTAGCAGCAAGTGCTTTAACCACTGCACCACCAGGACTTCTTGTATTTCTCACACAGACATGCAAATCATCACTACAGGTCAGTTTTAGCTGGCCAGGTGCTCCAAGCTTAAACCAGTTTATTTCAAATATAGAATCAATTATGGCCCCATTTAGAGAACCATCATTCATATGTCGTGTTTATAAGGGCTCCCTGACGGACTCTTTCAGGAATTACAAAGTGCTCACATTAGTTCTTTCCATTAGGTCCTGGGACCTATGCTGCCTAAAATTTCTCAAGCCCAGACAGTATGAAAGATGAAGCTGGGTTTACTCACTATCAAAAAGAAAATGTGAATTCATAGTCTAATTTTTCCATAATAAAAATCTTATTTATACTGTCGAATAAAAACCAAGCCTATTAAAATAAGGAAGTTTAAGAAGCTTCCTTATAACCTTACCCTTTCCAACAATGCTGAACAATTCAAAATACACGTTATAGGGTATGAAAGACATCAGTGTAAACCAATCTAGATAATGGCATAATTAGCTATCACAATCAGGCTTCACGTTTCTCCTTCCAAACTAACTCCATACTAGTTATCATATTTCTTCAAAAATTGTGCTTTAAAATCAGAAAAAAGTACATGATTATAAAGGAAGTAGTAATTTACTCCAATGTCAGTTTATAAAAATTCTGACCAAGGAAGTATCCAACTACAACCAACCATTCCAACCCTCACCATCTAAAAACTTCAAAACAATGTTATTAACTATTCTTGATATTTAAAAAAAAAATTCTGCTAAGGAACTCTGAGCTATTTGAGTTGGGAGGTAGTCTTTCTTCCGTGGTTTGTTGTTTGTTCTTGGTTTCCTTCAGATGGAGCCAAGACTGCCAGGATTTGAGCCTCTGCTTGGAAGAAATTTAGGATCTCAAAAGCAAATATAGGAAACCTTGTAGAATCCTCTCAGCTATATGCTTTTAGAAAGGACGAGGGGGAAAGAAAGTCACAAAAGTTTTTAAAAATCATTTTTCCTCTCTACTCAGAAGGAACACAGAAGTACACCTTGTTAGAGGGGCTGCCCTGATTGACATTCTTGCACTCACTTTAAAGACTAGTGACCTACATGTAAATAATCGCTCCCACTGTCCATGCATCTCTAAACTAGGTTTAGTTATTGTTTCCTTTGGATAGGTTCTGTGAGAGTTAAGTGTTCTGTGATCAGTGAATAGAGTTTGAGATAAAAAGAGGAAAATAAACTCTTTGAGTTTAAATAGAAGTGCTTCCAGTTTCCGTTTACAAGCCTAAAGGGTTGCTGTATACATCAAAAATGCTGCATAGCTCCAGTCCTGGTCACAGAAATCCTCCTCTTCTCCCCCCTTCCCTACCCTTCCTGCCCCGTGACTACTGAGGATGTCAGATCTTTGATAAACAGCAGTTAGGAAAGAATGTTTTTCCCAGCTTGTACTAGAAAACGCTGGTTAAAAAAAAAAAAAAAAAGGACCAAACTGAGTCACAATGCCAGAAGCTGTGCTCTCGTCCTCTCTTCAATGGGATCTAGATCATTTCTAGTGAAAATACTAAGTAATACTAAATACTTGTACTTTTGCCCATGTATGTGACATGTCACTTCTTCTAATCCCCCGTTTGCCCTAGATAATTTTAAGCTTTATCCATCAGTGTGCCACGGGAGAAAGAAAAACGCAGTTAACAAGATGATAGTGTTATCTAGGTATCTGGTATCAATATTAGAGAGAGGCTGTCATTTGACATACCAGACGGTAAAGAAAACGTTTTCATTCATCCGCAAATGACTAACATTTTATTGATGTTTCAGAATGCGGCTGAATACTATTGCACTCTCAATTCTGAGTCGTTTTGAGAGTTAAGTCTGAATACTAGTAATATCAGTAACTCCTGCTGCAAGTGTCTCGGTTAATTGCTGAGCCTTGGAGTATTTCAGTTCAGCAGGGAGGTGTCTCTGGTTAGGAGCTCTTCGATTAGTCAGTCTGGGTGGTCACAGGTGATGGGAACCCTTCCGTTTCCACGTATACCCTCCCTCATGCACCGCGTTAAAAATCACTCTGGGCACTGCTACCGCCAAGCAAAACGACTCCCTGCCTGCCTCGTAAAGAGCTCAGTCTAGGGAGGCAGCCGGATGCTGACCCCTGCAGAGATTGATCGCCTCTGCGCGCTTCGCCAGTGGACTCTGCTAACGTTATGGAAAACGAGTTCTGGATGTGCGAGGTTTTGCTTTACTTATTTCCTTCGAGGGAAGAATGTCTGAGGTCAGGCGAAGCAAATCTTCAAAGACTGTTAAAGGGGGATAAGGGTGGAGGGACAGAAAAATCGAGGTGGGGTCGCTTATTTTTTAATTACTTGTTTTTCTCTCTGGCTTCCCCGCTGCTTCCCAAACTCCTCACTGAACAAGACTGATTGGCGTAATTTCTATCGACTCCAGCCCGGTTTTCGCATTTATCTGCAAATGGCCCAGGAACAGCTAAGGGCTCTTGAATCTGGAAATGAGTTCAAGAAGGGAAGAAGAAAAAAAGAATAGGGGTCAGCCCCATGCCCAGCACCCCATTCCTCTCCAGGGCAGAGGCTCGCAGCCGCCCGACAAGCGACGAAGGGTCTGCGGCGTGAGAAGCTCGGGTTGCCGTGAAGGAAGCCTGTCCAGTCTGGTTTGGAGATTGCTGAAAAATATAACCCCGTAACTCATTAAATCCGATAAGTCCGCCCACCCTTGATTCGGATGCGCTGATCATTCCAAACCATAGGCTCAAACGGGTTAAACTGATTCTTACATAACAGGACTGCCTGGCTCCACACAATTAAAACACTTGATCGCAGTGTCTTCCCGACTCTGCATCCTGGCACTACTCGTCCGGTCCCTCCCAGTGCGCCTGCGTGCCGCGCGCGCACGCCTCTCCGCGCGCTCGGCCCCCCGCGCATAGCCACAGCGCGCGCAGAGCCACGCGCTCGCGCGCGCACACAACACACGTAAACACACACACACGTAAACACACACACACACACGCGCGCGCGCGCTCCATACAGACCACATCCC